ACTGAAGAAGCTTCTTGGTTGAGAAGTTCTGGAACTGAAGAAGCTTCTTGGACGAGTCCTCATTTTACCCACCTCGGAAGGATGGAAGGCTGAGTCAACCCTGAGCCGGTGAGATTTGAACAGCCGAACTGCAGAACTGCAGTCAGCTGAAGTAGCCTGCAGTGCTGCACTCTAACCACTGCGCCACCTCGGCTCTCTGATGGTTGCAATGCCCAGGGTCATGTGATCCCCTTTTTTGAGCAAAATCAATTGGAAATCAGATTCACTTAGCAACCATGTTACTAATTTAACAACTATAATGATTCACTTAACAACCGTGGCAAGAAAAAATCATAAAATGGGGCAAAACCCATTTAACAAATTTCTCACTTATAAATTTTGGGCTCAATTGAACTTGTAAATTGAGAACTATCTGTATGTGTGACTCATGAAGCATTATATACTGCCTTTCCCCCCCTTGTATGAATTACACTTCTCATATAATTACTCACCACCCAAATTATATATTCAAGTGGCTATATAGATTTAATTAATAAATAATCAAATAAATATCAGATTAACAGGATAGTTGTGAGCAATTGAAAAACACAGAATTCTTATGAAAACATTTCTGTTAAAATTTCTTGGCAGTTCAAATAATAATGCCTGCCCACCTCTGTGCTGTTCTATTATTATATACATCATGGAGATGAGCAATGTTATGTAGAATGAAGAAAAAAAATAGAAGTACTAAGCAGGATCAAATCAAACATGTGGGAAAAGGAAGAAAATTAAATGTTATTTGGACTCACACTTACTATATTCTACCATATATTTCTATTTGTCCAAGCAAACCTTGTTTTCTCTTTATCCATGCATTACTTTAGAGGTTGCTTTTTATTCTTTAAACATTTCAGCTTTTTAAAGGATCTCATCAGTTCCATACAGCTATAATGTCCTCAATCTTCCTACTCCTCTCAAAAATCCATTCTTTTTCCTGCATTTATTTATATGATTTTCATTTATTTTTGGTATATAATTAAACCCTCTCAACGTACGTCTTCAGTTACTAAAGACTCACTTCTGTATTCAGTTCAAAATCATACAGCATTAATTAATTCTTGATCCTATCTTGTTTACCATATATGCAATTTAAGTATCCCATTACTATTTTAATGTTTTTCCTCTTACAATATACCAAACTACAAAGCACGGGTGGGTTTCTCGCCCCATTCCAACCGGTTCTGTTGGAACGAGGCCGGCGGTGTCCTCGTGCACGCACGCGGCGCACTAGCGTCTGTGCGATGCTCCAGCTGCTCCTGGAGGATTGCGCAGGCGCTGTATGTGTCCTGCGCATGCGTGGAAGCGCAGAATTCATCAAAACCGGGTAAGGAGCGGGCGCGCCGGCGCGGGCGGGCCCTTCGCCGTTCCCGGAAGTTACTTACTTCCGGGTTCGGCGACCAACCGGTTTGCAGGGACTGCCGCGAACCGGCTGAAACCCACCCCTGGTACAAAGCATCAAATAGTTACCTCTATTTAGCTTCCTCTCTCACTATTTTCATGAAAAT